GGTTATCCTGCTCCCGCGGCTGCAAATGACCAACGGAATGATCGACCCATGGCCAATCAGTAAGGAGGGGGAAGCTGTGCTATCCAGAACTAGGCCTTTGTGGTTACTGCCCAAGTCCAAGGAGTAGGAGAAGAGGCACTTGACAGAGTACAAAAAGATGATGCACTTGTCGCAGGAAGCGGGTAGGCTACTTTCCTCACGGGATTTGGAGTGTATAATCTGACGGTAGCACAGATGGGAAACGAGCCGAAAAGGAACGGCAAGAGCTAGAGCACAAGGATGGGATCAAGAAGGATACTGGGAGGGTCGGGGACCAACAAATCATACCAAACCGCAGTATCGCAGCTCGCAAGAAGGAAACCCGAGAGCTCTGGTGGCCGGGTGTCGCTCCCCGGTATCGGGCAAAGGTCGAGTAGGTGTCATTTGGCAATAATCTTATGTTGGGGCCGGGAACGTTCCAGTTGGTACTGAAGCGGGCGTGCGGGATGTGGAGGATGGGTTAGAGATGAGTGCAGCAATGTACTGATTCAAGGAGAGGGAAGTGTTCAGTGCCATAAGATGGCATGTGGATAAGAGCTTTACGGAGCTCAAGTTTTGTGGAGGATTTCTCCCTGGGGTTCCCTTGGGGAATAGTTGGCTGGTGGTTGGCGGTTCTGTTTCAGGAGAACGGTCTGCTTCATCCGAGTCTGCTAGAGGTACTGATGGCTTATTCCATGTTTCGAAGTAATGTTGGATATGTTTTCGGCACACATGTGGGCTGCCCTTTCTCCTGGTTTCAACTAGGCGGGTGGTTGATTGTGCATTAGGTTGTCGCTGGGCTACTGCTTCTGAACCTCTCCCCGGAGAAGAGTTTCACCACACTCGTTAACCTTCCCAATTGTCCTCTACCTTTAGCTTTCTACACACAAGACGAGGGCGCCGTAATTCACCCCCCATCCCCGGGGTCCGCTCTTGCTAAATCTGGGCTGAGAAGTACAAGTGCATTCCTCACACATCCTTGCTAAGAAATACCTGCACAACTCTAATGTTTGGTGAGGACTCCTGCAAAATACCAGCTGGTGGAAGTATTTTCAACATAGAACCAGGAGCACAGTGTGATACCAGGGCATCCGGGTAAGTGATCGGAATGAAGATAATTGGTAGGCCATGCTGATAGCGTAAATCCAGGAAGTACTAGCCATACCTTGATCTTGATAGCGAGTATGGGACCGGAACCTTTTCCGCTAGACTCTGTTAGATGTAATTTGTTCCTGCTTTGTTAGTAACCAGAGCGCCTTGAAGCAGGTAGCAGCCTGGTTTGTGGCTTTACAATACTAGAACGGTAAAATCATTTGCTTTCTGATCACTTTGTTCCCCAGACTGAACCTCAATCCTGATCAGTTACTCGTAGAAATGTGCCGACCAGGATCGGTCAATTTTGTCGCTTTCCCGATAACCTTTTCCCTCCAAGTGGGAAGGTACACTGGAACCTTTCCACGCTACCATGTGTGGTGGGATGAGAGCCTCTACCCAATTAGGCCGAAGGGTCATCGCATGTACTTACTTCGTCATCTCTGACAGACACCTCGCCCAAATACGCGGACCCCCCGGTTCCGTGTAGTAGAGAGTTTGCACTGCCGGAACTAGGTCGGACTTAGGAAGAATGATGGTATGGGATGTCTGTGGTAGAAGGAGAACCGCTACCCAATTATGCCCAAGGGTGATTCCGCATAATTGCTCAGTCATCCCGGACCCCCGGGTTCTGCGTATTAGAGAGTTTGTACTGCCGGAACAAGGTGGGAGTTATAAACAATGATGCTATAGGTTGTTACTCCCATCAGCAGCCCATCGAATCCTGCAAAGCTATTGGGTTCCGTAAACTCCATCCTTCCAAGAGGTCATACCGTAGCCGATTTTAAGCATCCTTCCAGATACTCTTGTTGGGATTGTACTGGAGCAGAATCGCCACAAGATCATACTCTTCTAATAGAGGCAGGAAAGTGCAGTGGAGGTGGCATTCCGCAGAGCTGAATTACAGGTCCAATTTTGGAGTTCTTATACCTAGCCCAGGTGGGACTAAAGAACCATTGGCCAAGCCGCACCCTGAACTTATGTTAACACCGCTGCGGTCGCACAGTCCAAAATGTCTATTTACGCGACATAGCACCTTAGCCATACCATCAGAGATGACAAGAAACTCTTGGTGGGAACTTGGCGAAAATGCTAATGGACCCTTGACATTCGAACTAACTTCCTTAATGTGCCTAGTACCTGTAGAGTAATATTGGTGACCGATGCTACTGCCTGCACGCGGCAACCATTAATTCACATTGTGCGCGACTGTTTCAGAAAGTACTTAGGCCCCTGAATGACGACATTTTTCCAAATACTATACCAAAAATTGTGTACAAGTTGTATGGTCATAACATATTACTCGCTGACAGCCCTGGGAAACCGCAATATGTTAGTTACTTGTCAAGCTAACACCTACCTCTACACTATGCCTAGCAAGTGTTACAATGTACCTCGCGGCTAATAGGTTAACCAAGATTGTCCGCAATGCTGCAGATTAGCCTGTAAAAGTTTAGAAACTCGTCTTGTATTTGATATAACATTCGCGGGATTGAACTTGGTTTAATTAGCTTCCCAATCAATGGAAGGAATTGCACCAAACCCAATAAGTTAAGAAGAGAAATCACAATATTGAAATTTTAGGCTATAGGCTAGTGATGGCCACGATCAGATCATGATCGATGTTTTCTCAAGCCTAGAGTGCTCGATTTCGGGCTATAGGTTGATCAATTTGTTTCGCGGGAGGGTGAAGTACGGATAGATGATGGGTAGACAATTTGTGTGTGAGGCAGATGTTCTGTGGGTAGATAGTGAGAGGAGGGTTGTGAGATGGGGAGACGCTATAATCCGGGATGCCGTTAGGCATGAGTGCCTGGGAGCCTATGGTTGCATTTAGTGTGTTTGGTATGTTGAGGGGGAGTGGTTGGGAGACCAGACTGCTGGTGTTTGATTTGAGTTATGTCTGGGGGTTAGCTAGACTTATACCAGTTCGGTGGTTCTAGGAATAAATTTAGGTTGAACATCACCTCGATCAGGAGGGCCTCTCGATCACGACATGATCGGGCATGGAATCTGTAATCAGCTCGAGTTGATCTATCATGGGCACTGCTCGATGTTAGTCCACTAACGTGA